TTGTTCTTCCTGCAAAAAGGCAACCAGTGGCTTGCAAACTTGGCAGCCTCCATGAAAGAAAAGAGAGTCAGCGCCGAGCCCCCGTCATCTGAAACATACACTGAAAGCTTCTCTGTCGGGTAATCATAAGCCATCACCGACAAGGCCGTGTTGACCACGTTCATTGGCGGCTCCTTGTACGGATCGGCAGTGCATATGAACACGTCCAATGCAGGAACATCCAATTCTTGTACAACCCTTTTCATGTTTTCGGGGAATTCGTCACGGTATATCGGTCGCATTCGAAAAGATTGTGTGGTGGTGAACATGAAAGCAAGAATAGAGTCGGAGACAAGGAAGGTGAGGGTAATGAAGAAAGATGTTGCGGTTGTGGAATTGAGGAGAGAGAGTGAATGGTGATAGAGAAGGGTTAAGATGGCACACGAATGAACCACCGCGAATAAGCGGTTTGCGGTGGTTTGACGAGAAGGCTTGGACGTGTGAAGTGGGAGGTCGTCATGAGTGGTGGTCATGGTGTGTTTGCTGCTATGTCACACGCATGGGAAGGAGTTTTAGTTATAGGGTTTATACCAGATCGATCTGAATATATCAAAAAAGCATTTCACGGTACATGCATATTCCAAATTCCAATTTTATGCTAGTCAAGCATATGAATTATTGTTTTGGCAAGACAAAATAAATAAATATCATTCTTCGGGACATTTGGTTTAAGTGGTAAAGAAAGACTAGAATTCGACTTGATTTTCTCCATTTTTCAAATTGATGAACTTATAAGTATTATCGTAAAAACAAATTCAGTGTATTATAATAGTGGTGGACGACAAAATTATAATAATGGTATATGATAAATGTCACATCCCGGTCCGGGGCGGATCACTTTCCGGGCCCGCTCCACTACCGTAGCACGATATTGTCCGCTTTGGGCTTATCATTCCCTCACGGTTTTGTTTCTGGGAACTCACGAGCAATTCGAGTGAGTCACCCATCCTGGGAGTGCTCTGGCCCCCTTCTCGCTTAACTTCGGAGTTCTTACGGAACCCGAAGCCAGTGAGCTCCCAAAAAGCCTCGTGCTAGGTAGGGATGAGAATATACATTTAAGGATCACTCCCCTAGGCGATGTGGGATGTCACAATCCACCCCCTTAAGGGCCCGACGTCCTTGTCGGCACACCACGGCCAGGGTATGGCTCTGATACCAAATTGTCACATCCCGGCCCAGGACGGATCACTTCCCGGGCTCGCTCTATTACCGTAGCACGATATTGTCCGCTTTGGGCTTACCATTCCCTCACGGTTTTGTTTTTGAGAACTCACGAACAACTTCCGAGTGGGTCACCCATCCTGGGAGTGCTCTGGCCCCCTTCTCGCTTAACTTCGGAGTTTTTACGGAACCTGAAGCCAGTGGGCTCCCAAAAAGCCTCGTGCTAGGTAGGGATGGGAATATACATTTAAGGATCACTCCCCTGGGCGATGTGGGATGTCACAATCCACCCCCCTTAGGGGCCCAACGTCCTTGTCGGCACACCACGGCCAGGGTATGGCTTTGATACCAAATTGTCACATCTCGGCCCAGGACGGATCACTTCTCGGGCCCGCTCCACTACCGTAGCACGATATTGTCCGCTTTGGGCTTACCATTCCCTCATGGTTTTGTTTATGGGAACTCACGAGCAACTTCCCAGTGGGTCACCCATCCTGGGAGTGCTCTAGCCCCCTTATCGCTTAACTTCGGAGTTCCTACGGAACCTGAAGCCAGTGAGCTCTCAAAAGGCCTCGTGCTAGGTTGGGATGAGAATATACATTTAAGGATCACTCTCCTGGGCGATGTGGGATGTCACAATAAACTTGATACTTCTAGTTCAATTAATTTTTATTTTTTTTCGTAACAATAATTTTTTAAATGTTATGTATTACCGCATGCGACTTGAATTAACATGCATATGATAAAGTTAATATTTTATAATTGAAAAATAATTAAAGGTCAAATTTTTTTCATGGTTCCTGTAGTGACACCTTATTTTTAATATGATCCCTGTAGTGAAAAGGTTGTTAATTACATACTTGTGGTGAACTCCGTTAGCAATTAAAAGTCCAAATCAAAACTTATGTTAGTATTCCATTTAAAAACGTGGTTAAAATCGTCATTTTAAACAATTGACACAACTCATAAGCCTAAATCATCTATCCTATGAGTTCTCTAATAACTTCCCATTTCTCAATGATCATCCATGTGCATCGGAGTGCTTTCTTGGGACAATGATTGATGATAATGGAATTCGCGGACAACCAATGATGGATGGTCATAATAAGATTTATAAGTCGTTTTCAGATGTAATTGAAGAAAAAGAGGAAAGATTTCGTGAGAGGCGTACATATGATCATTGAGAAATGGGATTTCAAACACATACAATTTGCTCGGCTTCTTAGTTAAGAGAATTGTTTGAAATGATGATTTTAACCACATTTTTAACGAAATATTAATAGAAATTTTGATTTGCACTGCAATTGTTAACGAAGTTCACCATAAACATTTAACTAATATTTTTTTTACCACGAAGATCACATTAAAAATAAAGTGACACCGCAAAACCACGAAAGAAATATGGCCCTAATAAACACATTATAACATAAACGCTTTGGTAATACTACATAACGACTGCATTGGAAACTCTGAGTGCACATCCGAGTGCACCCCATAAAATATTATATTTATGTTTCCTTTTTCAGTAACATAAGTAACAGAAATTGTTCGCGTCAGGAATTTCCGTCGGGGATGTTTCCTGGCCGACGAGCACACAGCTCCCCGGGAGGTTGGCGCCGGTTGAGGGCTGCTGTCGGGCTTCTGCTTCACTGTCAGACTTTGTCGGGCAAGTCTCGTCGGGCAAGTCTTTATCGGGCAAGACTCGTCGGGCAAGGCTGAAAGAGAAGGACAAAGTTAACTTTGAAAGGTGCCTTTGTGGGGCCTTAGGTGTAAGTCTTGAGGCTCACAATCAAGATTAACTTTTAGGTGCTCGGGCGTGCCACTGCCATCTTCAGCATGGCAGATATAAAATGGATGTCGAGTTTTAGTTGTATATATATATATATACCCGAGAAACCGTGTTAGTTATAACAGGTGCCTTTGTGGGGCCTTAGGTATAGGCCTTGAGGCTTCCTATTAAACTAAACCAGTGCTCGAACACATCATATTTGTTCTCGTGAGTGCAGGAGTCTTATAACTATTATACTTCTGATTACCCGAGCTCGAGAGGTAGAATGAACCCAAATAAGTGCCTTTGTGGGGCCTTAGATGTAGGCCTTGGGGCTTCCCATTAGAGTTTGTTCTTATACTCAAACGTTCTAGACCGCAGAACAGAATGAATCCAAATAGGTGCCTTCGTGGGGCCTTAGGTGTAGGCCTTGAGGTTTCCTATCAGAATCCATTCCATGCTTAAACGTTCTATGATAATCATAATATAATAGAAATAAAACTAAGAGGTAGGTCGATTACTTGCGCCCCAAGTAACTTCGGACTTCTCGTTTATCAAGGACTGTCGTGGATGGGTTAAGTCCACATAAAGTTCTTTTTTATGCCTTGAGGCCAAGGACTTTTAACTGATCAGATTTGCATGCCCGAGGGCTTCGGACTTGGATCTGGTTTGAACACTGAAAATATATTCAAATCGGATCCAAGTAATGAGAAAGCCTTTTAATGTCATTTTGCTAGAAATAACTTGCATATAACTGGAAGTATATAACATATTGCTAGGCTAATGAATGAAAAGACAAAAACAAAGAAGGTCGGGCAAGGTTAAACCTTATCAGGTAAGGCTGATCGTCTTGCAGGTTCCTATCTTTGTAATTTTGTCAAGGGTCTGAAAGTTTAGAGAGAGAGATAGAGATAGAGAGATTACAAAAGATGAATCGATACTACAGCAAGGTTGAACAGGGTAGCAGAGCTATTACAAAGGTTTGAAGGAAGGTTTATCCCGCGAGGGATGAAGGCTTGTCCCGAGAGGGATGAAGGCTTGGGCTGACTACAGCTTCGTTTTGAAGGCAAATCTGGCTTTGAGTAGAGTTTGTGCTTGCATTTGTTTGTTTGATTGAGTGTCCTTATTCCTGGTTTCTCTTTCTTCTTATATAGACAACTCGGCTTGGTCTCCTGTAGCAGCAGCCTTGCCCGAATGCGGTTTGAGGGTGATGACTCATCAACTATTTTACATGTAATGCCACCATAAAGTACTTTATGGGCTGTGTAGCTGGTCAGTCTATACCACTTGGCCCTTGGGTAGGTAAGCAAGTGGTTTTCATGAGCTGCACCAAGTCAGAAGAGGCCTTTTCTGCTTTTCTGGGTTTCGGCCGGGCCTTGGTCAACTATTCCTTCAGGCCTCCTTTTTGGGCCAGCTCCTTTCTCAAGCCCAAAGTCAAGTTTTGATCCAAACAGAAATAAAATCTGCTTTGCAATCATGGGCGACATTTCCTTATGGATATATGTAAATCCGGTTGGACCATGAAGTTTTAGGTGTATCAGATTCAAATTCTCATCATCAACAAATTATTTAAAGGAAAACTCAGAGAGAGGTTGGAAATTTTGAGTTTTAACGGTAAAGATAAAATAAAAGGTAAGATGAATGCTACTCTGATTGACTTTTTAGTGTAAAAATGTAGGTTTTCAAACTCTTTTTATTAGTTTCCCTTATTTAAAGGAAGATAGTTTGATTTCGTGTGTTCTCACGTCGCTCCCTCCTACTTGGCCATAGCTTTATTATTTAATCTTGAGGGTGTTGGTGGAAGGCCCTATACAACGTGCAACACTGCACATGAATCACTGACATTGGAATTTTGGAAAATGGACATTATCCTAATATTGTTCAGCACATGTCATCTTAGCAAGATGCAAATAAAAATGTCTATTAAACTATAGGACTATTATAAAATGTTTATATCAAATTCATCGTGCGTTAATATAAGTTTTTCATCATGTCTGATAAAATATTAGTCTAATACATAATACATCCATCATAAACTTTGAACAACGCATTAAAGTCTTTGATTGATTTTATAAATGTAGAAACTTCTCAAAAGGCCTACTTAATGGAAACCTAACGCAATGGACGGAAAGTGGTCCAAAATACAAATTTTATTTTGCAAATTGCAAAAGAAGATTGGTGGAGTAGACAGTAGAACACTAAGAAATCTGTGTGGGCAGAGAGCACAAAGCTGCCTTAGACCCCTAAGGCTAAATACAGTTTTGAGAGTGTTGATCATCATCAGTTCCTCAGAGTGACATAAGCCGCTGCGTAGAGAACAAATGCCAGAATTGTTGAAACCAGACTAGTTTTTGTAGGAATTTTTCCCTTATCATTCCTACTGATCATGGCTTCATAAATTGGTATGCAATTAACTATGCCAAATCCAGCTATAAACATCTGCACAAACAATTCTTCGAAGCTACCGCCGCCTCGGAAAATCTCTACATGGCCCCAAGCAAAGGCAGCCAGGTTGACAATGGCAGCCACTGTAAGTGGCACAAAGAAGGGAGATGGGACTCCAAACTCCATCATGCCTTGTTCATATCTTTTTCTTTGGTCCTCATCAAGTACTTTGCTGGTCACATTAAACCCATGTGTGGAAATGCCTAAGGACTTGAGAAAGTACTCAACGAATCCAAACGCGAAGCTTGAGAGTCCCCTAATAATCCACATTCTCTGGTTATTCCACCACTTAAGGAATGTTCCTCCAGATAATACAAAATCAACGAGTTCTTCCCCATAGGCTCCAAGGACAACAAACGCATACAAGAGAAACCATGGATCCGAAACCTGCAATAAGCACTTAAATCTTAGTTTCAAAAGTATAGCGCGTCTTGTTTGACCAAGAACACTTGCAAAAGATCAGACCCGAAAAATGTTGTCATTATATCAATTTGAACCTTAATCGTGTGGAGTTCTATTTAAATGTGTGGTATGAAGTCACAAAATAAGTTTGACAATAGAATATTGTACAATTTTCTCAAGACAACAAACTAGTAAATGGTGAGTGTGCATTACCTTTGGAAATAGGGTGATCCCATTGAGGAGCGCTAGCTGCGGGACGAAGGCATATGTGGTGATGGGAATGGCCCAAAAGGCCCAAAAACCAAAGGCATAACCAAGGCCCATCAGAGGACCCATGGCCCGAACACCGTATGTTACTGGACTATATTTTGAGAAACCTACCTCAAGTAGGCCTACGGCCCATCTCTTGCTTTGATTCAACGCATCAAGAAGGTTGATCGGGGCATCCCCTAAAAATGCTGCCCTCTCTGGATTGCAAAATATGGCATTCCATCCCTCGCAAAGCAGGATATAACCCGTGAAGTAGTCCTCCACGAGTGAGCCATATCTTACTCCCATCTGCACAATTTAATCAATTTCATCTATCAGGTTTCAAATTACACTGTCATAATGTCATTGATTTGTAAGAAAAATGGGAGTTGTTAATTACGTTGTCATAATGTGATTGTTAATCACGCTCCCTCATTAGAAGATACGTAGCACTAATTAGCTTATTTTCATACCTTATATCCCCAAGTGGTATTGTTCTCATAGTCGCAAGATGCAACATGATTTGCCAATTCCAAAACCTCTGGATTCTGAAGGGGCTTGTCAACTACATTGTTAGGGTGCAATTGGGGAATTTCTGGTGGTAAAAGCTCCGACGGCCCTCCGAAGAATGCTCGTCGGGAGAAAAAGCATCCGGTTCCTACATAATTTGGTCCTAATAGCCCATCGAATCCGCATGGGTTGATAATGAACAGATGCCTGAACTCACTTGCATATATGTCAGTCTTGTTGATTCCTTGAAAACGTTGAGGGAATTGGACATACCCTACTTTGGATCGAAGCTTAGGGTCTGATAGGTAACATAGAGTGCGAAGTGGCGTATCGGGATTGTTGGAGTACATATCACAGTCTAGGGTTAAGACTATTGGAGCATTGGTCATGATAGCTGAAACTCGTAGCTTTGTAACACAACATCAAAAGATAAACAAATTAGTTAATTTGTTTATTAATGTAGAAAATTAATTAATAAAAAGATGGTTAATGAGAAAACGAGCTAGGGTTTTGAGCTTACAAGGGCATTAAGTGCACCAGCTTTGAAATGGTGGGGTGATGTCCTGCTTTTTTCTCTAGAGAAGTAAATTAGGTTTGACATCAGATGGCCTGTGATGTCTCTGTCTTTGCTATTGTCCAAAAGAACCTGCTCATAATTCACAACATTCATATGCATGAATATTTGGTTGCTCATAAGTTATGCACTTCAGTATCTAACGTGAGGACGCAATTTGACGTTTTATGTTGGCAGCATAAACGGTTGCTTGCAAGATTGTTAATTGCGTGATAAGTTTCGGTTAAAAACAGCTATCTTATGATCGTGCATGTTCTAATCACGAGGATAAAGTGCTATATCACTTGAACGAGAAAAATACCTGAATAACAGCGGGATGATCTTGCCGTGTAAATCCATCCGTCCATTTGTTAAAAGCTTGAATTTCCCGTTTTCCAGTTAGATATTCCTGATCGACTTTGCCTCTCTCTATTACATTGGTTACCTTCACTTTCATGCCTTGGTACATAATCTTGTGCCATGATTCAGAAGAACATGTAATTACTTAATTAATTAGCTCTAAATGTGGTGGGATTGATAATTTCGATCCATAAAGTAAACCCATTTACACAAACTGGAATTTTTTATTTATTGATATGTGTACTCACCTATTCTATTTTCTCACTTGAATTTATAATTAAAATATAGATGACAAATCAATATAAAAAAATAAGACAGGTAAGTGGTTTGGTATACCAAAAAAAAAAAAAGGCTGAGTAATCTTGAACTCCACATTGCCTCTGTATAACAATGTTGGTTGTTTATGTATGAAAGCGATAGGGAACAAAGAACAAGGGTGACCAGCAAGTATTTTCTCCATATTAGCTGATGCGTGTTTTATTTTCTTTATCGATATCTCAGATAAACAAAAATTAAAGAGAATTAAAGAGATTGATACGCATGATGAGAATCGCAAAGGGAGAATTATTATACAATACATGCACACCCCCCCTTTTTCTCCTCCTCTTTCCCCTTACCCCCTCTTTTTTTTTTTTTTTTTTTTTCTTTTCTGTCTTTGTCCGTATATGCCTTATAAATACATATTATCCCTCGTCGCTATCCTACTGAATATGTAGATGGGTTCGTAATGTGTTGGATTTCTATAGGCTTTCGAAGCACTCCTTTTAATTTAGAACAAGGCTCGACTCTTCTTCAAATAGTTACCTATGCTATGTTTGGATAAGTAGTTAAATGAAATTTATATTAAATTTTGAAGAAATCAATGTGCTGCAAATTTATGGAGAAAGTTAATAAATAACTAGATACAACACATTAGTGAGAACTTTAAAACGACAATTTTCAAGGTCTCATAAAAGGCATTACTTGAAAGTTTTTTGTGTAGTCTTTTTGTAGTACATTTTTTGGTCAAGTTTAGTATATTTATAGTGCTTGAGTAGTAACTTAGTAATCTTTGAGTGCATAGTTCATTAGTATCCTTGGAGTGCATTCTTACAATGAACTATGTTTTTGAATCTAGAAAGTCCCATCCAAAGTTATCATCCCTAACACTATATATGGTCTAGGGATGATTAAAAATTAAACATTATAACTTAAAAGAATATTGCCATATATATATATGTATGTATGTATGTATGTATGTATGTATGTATGAAATGTAGCTGAACATACATTTAGCTAATAGTTTCGGAAAATTGATATATATCACTAGAATTTTTTTACCTTTATCTTCTCGGCTTCAGGAAACCGAGAATGATCCGTTTCAAAATAAGCTTCCGGGCAGCGTTCCACTATGTTGTTGTTCCTGCAGAAAGGTAGCCAGTGGCTTGCAAATTTGGCAGCCTCCATGAAAGCAAAGAGAGTCAGAGCTGAGCCGCCATCGTCTGAAACATACACTGATACCTTCTCGGTTGGATAGTCATAAGCCATGACCGATAAGGCTGTGTTCACCACGTTCATTGGTGGCTCCTTGTAGGGATCAGCTGTGCATATGAACACGTCCAAAGCAGGAAAATCAGGTTCTTCGACAACCCTTTTCAGGTTTTCGGGGAATTCAGTGCGATAAATTGGTTTCATGCGCAAAGATTGTATAGTGGTGTACATGAAAGCAAGAAGAGTGTCGGAGATGAGGAAGGTGAGGGTGATGAAGAAAGAGGTAAGGGTTGTGGAGTGGAGGAGGGAGAGTGTATGGCGATAGAGCAGGGCTAAGATGGCACTAAAGTGAACCACCACGAATACACGGTTTGCGGTGGTTCGACGAGAGGGCTTGTGGGTGTGAAGTGGTGGGAGCCCATCATGGGTGGTGGTGGGCATGGTGGTACAAGTGGAAACTCTTTGAGTTTGAGCTTTCCCTGTATTGGAACTCTTAGGTAGGCATGGCATTAAATTTATAGGGTTTCCTATAAATGATTAAGGTTTTTAGTCTTGGGCACGTAATTAATAAAGATTTTGTTGTTTTTTTGGTACTTGGTAAATGGTAATCTGCCAATCTCTATCTACTGCATACTTGTATTACTGTTGGGACTTATTGTTGTCCAAACCTATAAATAGATATAGATAAAGCATTTGTCTATCAACCGACTAGTTCGTTCTTCCCTTCAATTAATAATCATGAGGGCGAATCAAAACAATATTAAATGAATTATACTCAAACTTAATTAAGAAATTAGGGTTAGCTCAATGGTGAGAGTCGTTACAGTGATAGGTAAGAATACTTTAGAAATTCAGGTTTAAAATCCTTTTTTTGTTGTGGCCTATATTTAACTGATAGGGGAAGGTGGCCAGTGGCACAGAGTAGGGTTGTGTAGAGGAATGTGTGTTCTTCCCCCTACGCAGTGCCTTTATTTATAATAATAACAGAGAGAAGAAATCATTCTCCCCTAAGGATACAAGTCCATATAGGAAAGAATAACTAGAATCAAATCTAATATAGGATTTACACAATCATACTTAAACTAGAAGTTTACAACACTCCCCATTGAGTGTGTAAATACTCAAGTAGATTCAGCATCATGTAGAGGTTGAGAAAATTGACTCATTAGCACTGATTATGAGAACATGCTATTCTCAATAAGGTAGGAACTTGCATAAGGAAGTAAGTCTCACAAAAAACCATATGGCTATGGTAAAAACCCGTGTAGGGATAAAATCCATAGTCTAAGGAAAAATGCGTGAGGAATGCAAAGTCAAATGAAACGTCTACGGGACATCATCAGGGATATGATCAACCCAAGGTGAGTGCCTCGTTAAAACCTCGTTAGGTAGCAAAACCCCAGTGGGAAAAATGCTCCTAATCGTAGGGAAAAGAGTACATTAAGATCAAGCAAGTATACTTCAGGATACTCCCCTTGAGTTTGACATAGTTTCAAAGAGAACTAGCAATGTTACAACTAAAAAATTTTAAGCATACCAATTCCTTAAACAAGCTTCTAAAACATCGCCTTCGATAGTGATTTGGTGAAGAGGTTGGCCAAATTGTCTTGTGAACGGATTTGCATGACTTCAATCTTCTGATGCTCTTGTTGTTCATGTGAGAAGAAGAACTTTGGCCTAATATGCTTAGTGTTGTCTCATTTGATATAACCCTTCTTGAGCTATTCGATGCATGTTGTGTTGCCTTCATAAATCGTTGTCGGGACATCAACGACGGGGTAAAGATCGCAGGAGCTTCGAATATGGCCCATAATTGCTCTCAGGCAAAAGCATTCCTGAGTTGCTTCATGTAAGGCGAGAATCAACATGGTTAGACGAAGTGGCAACTAAGGTCTGTTTGGTTGACCTCCAAGAAATTGCGGTGCCTCAACGGTAAAGACATAACCCGTTTGAGAGCACGGCTTATGCAGATTAGATAAGTATCATGTGTTGGCATAACCAACAAGGTGAGAATCGACTTGAGATAAAGGGATGCGGCATCACTTGAGGATCTGTAATGATAGAACAAGCCCAAATCTGTAGTACCCTTAAGGTAGCGGAAAATGTCTTTAACACCAGTCCAATGTCTGCCTGTTGGTGCATTACTGTATCTTGCCAAAAGATTAACAGCGAAGGAAATGTCGGGTATAGTGCATTGAGCTAAGTACAATAAATCGCCTATCGCACTTAGATAAGGAAATTCAGGCTCCAAAATCTCTTCAACATCCTCATTCGGATGGAAGGGATCTCATTTTGCATCTAGCGATTGAACGACCATAAGAGTACTCGAAGGCTTTACTTTATCCTCATTAAAGCGGCACAACAACTTCTGGGTGTAGTTCGTTTGATGTACTAAGATTCCATCTGAACGGTGCTCTATCTCGAGACTAAGACAGTATCGAGTCTTTCTAAATCTTTCATCTCAAATTCTGACTTCAGGTGTGTGACAGTTCTCTCAAGCCCTTCAAGAGTTCCGATGAGATTTATGTGATCGACATATATTGCAACAATCACAAAACCAAAATGTGACTTCTTAATGAACACATAAGGGTATAGCTCGTTGTTCACATATCCTTGACTAGTCAAATACTCACTTAGATGGTTATACCATATTCTTCCGGATTGCTTTAAACCATAGAGTGAATGCCTTAGCCGAATTGAGAGGTATTCCAGGGCTTAGAGATATTTGATCTAGTCAATGTAAGTTATTTAGGAACTTTCATATAAATTTCTGTATTAAGATCCCCATAGAGATACGCAATTACTACATTCATCAGCTGCGTACTTAGTTTTTCAGAAACTACCAAACTGATAAGGTAGCGAAAAGTAATCACATCCATAACGGGTGAATAAGTTTTGTCATAGTCAATCCCAGGGCTTTGTGAAAAGCCTTGCGTAACAAGACGAGCTTTCTAATGCACAATTTCGTTCTTCTCATTACTCTTCTGAACGAAAACTCACTTGTAGCCAATGGGCTTCACATGTGGAGAAGTAGGAGCTATATGTCCAAACACCTTACGTTTCGCAAGCGAATTGAGTTCGACTTGGATTGCTTGTTTCCAGTTTGATTAATCGGTTTTACGTCGACATTCATCAACGGAATGGGGTTCAATGTCATCGCTTAACATAATCTCAATAGCTACTGCATATGTTAATAAATCATCGACGATCATCTCATTTCTACACAAAACATCATCCAAGCTAGCATAATAGATCGAAATCTCATGATTTTCGAGAGGTGGATTCGTCTTTTCAATGACGCTTCCGTAATCTAGAATTTCCTCATAAGTTGGATGGATTGAGTAGGCAACAGTCAGATTCACGATAGGCTGTGCCTGTGCCATTGGTTTCCTTTTTCGAGGGTGTAAATCTTTTGAACCAAGAGGTCTACCACACTTGTGTGTAGAGGCAGATGATTGGCTAGCCGTTAATGTACGTGGATCGCCAAAGTTGGCGTCCCGGGCCTCTAGGAGGGAAGTCCATCGTACATTTGGTATATCCATCCTTGATGGCAGATTTGCAGCTTGAATATGTGATCTTGTCACTTGTGCTAGATCGGTGAAAGCATCTGGCATGCTTTAAGCTATGCTCTGAGGATCTAATATGCGTTGCACTTCAGTTTTAGATTGAGCAGTGCGGGGATCTAAATGAGACAAAGTGAGAGTCATCCACGATAATTCGCGTCGTTCATCAGGAATGTTGACCTTCTTATCTCCCCTTAACGACGAGAATACTATCTTATAGAAGTGACAATCCGTGAAATGAGCGGTAAACAGATCGTTTGTCAAAGGTTCTAAGTAATGAATAATCGAAGGAGAATCATATCGGACATAAATTCTCATCCTTCGCTGAGGCCCTATTTTTGTACATAAGTGCAGTGAAATTGGCACATAGACTGCACAACAAAAAACACGCATATGTGATATGTCGGGTTTGTATCCAATAACCAACTTAAGGGTGTTATATGGTTGGGTCACAACGGGCCTTAGGTGAATCACCATGGTTACGTGCAATATTGCATGGCCTCAAGCAGCAATCGGGAGCTTGGTACGTATGACCAATGATCGAGCAATCATTTGTAAGCGCTTAATGAATGCCTCTGTCTAGCCGTTCTAGATGTGAACATGGGGTACTAGATGTTCAACTTCAACCTCAACCGACATGTAATAATCATCAAAAGTTTTAGATATGAATTCTCCAGAATTATCTAATCGAATAGATTTGGTCAAATAATTAGAGTGGTGAGTCTTGAGCTTGATAACCTAAGAGAACAGTTTGGAGAACACAATGTTCCTTGTGGACAACAAGCAAAGTGTGACCAATATGTGGAAGCATCAACCAAAACCATAAAATATTTAAATGGTTCGTATGGAGGGTGAATCGGTCCACAAATGTTCCCTGAATCCTTTGTAGAAAAAATGGAAGGGTTTGAACGAATCTTGTCATAAGAAGGCTTAATAATAATCATGAAGTAGGTTTAACATGCAATTCCTTGAATCGAACGTAAACCTCGGGTTAGTGGATGCTCGTGTGATGATTTGAGGTACGGCGCATCGCTGTTCGTCCAGGGTGTCCCAAACGATCATGCCAAAGTGTAATTTCGTGCATGGTCCCTGAGGTAGGGTAGGCCACATAATGGCTTTCTATAGGGCGTATGGTCGTAGTATACAGACCACTCGAGATATGCTTTATCTTCTCTAGAATACGTTTATGGCCATATACGTAGGAAGTTATGCACAGAAATTCAACTTCGTTTTCTACATAGGTTTCAGCGTGGTAATTATTATCTCTAATGTCCTTAAAACAAAATTTTTTTTTTTCTGGAATGCGGAGAATTAAAGTACCTCATCAATGGTCAAAATTGTACCATTGGACAATATTATACATGTCTTACCGTGTCCTTCAATTAGGATGGATGTGCCTGAGAAGGTTGTCAGTGGTACATTCTTAGGTATGAAGTTAGTGAAATAGATGCATCGATGCAAAACGGTGTGCATGGTTGCACTATTTGCCAAACAACTAACTTCCCCACTAGTCATACCTAGGATGAAAATTAATTTGAATCGATCACATTCATAAAAGTTCTAAAAACAAATATGCATTCAAAATAATTTTAAGTATTCAAGGACGGTAATTAATTAAAAACTTAATATCCAAAAACAAATCACCAACAAATAATCCAAACATAAAAGAAATATGTTCAAAATTAAACCAAAAAACAAGGGAGGGTTTCGCCACTAGGTGGAATTCGACCCCAATGTCTAAATTTCAACTAGAAAAATAGCTTATGTCTAAGATTCTAATCTTCCATAGGGCTGACAACCTCTTGAAAATCAGAAACCTCCATCTTGGTACTCTCTGGTTCATCCACTTGCATAAAGTTTGACAAACTTCTTATGACGAGAATGATATTCAGCTACAACCTTCTAGGGAGCTAAGCAAACATGGGACCAATGGTCCTTTGAACCACAGTGATAGCA